TATATATATATATATATATATATATATTGTATATATATATATTGTATATACCTCATGTAGCTTAAGACTGCAGTTTAATTGTAATGGCCACTTCTCCAGCTAGCATACAAAAGCAATTTTTCATTTTGCAGCCAGACTTCCGACATTTGTAAAACAGGAGTGTATATAACGTGAGTTTTAAAATATATACCCCATCCATGTAAGCTTTAGACTTAAAAGTCCTGCAGCGCAATTGTCATGTTCAATAGCATTTTACACTTTTGCAGTGTTAAGATGTGTTTCATTGGTCTCTTAAATGTTTTTGTCACTGTGGCCCCTCCCACTGGCCCACCCATAATTCTTTCATGCCAATAATGGCAGCCAAATACACGCAGTGTTTGGTGTGCATCTACTTATTTGGTGTACAACTTCTATAATACAATACAATACAAAAGCGTGTTTGTCTGCATTGAAGTTGCCATCTCGAGTTGCCACATTTGTAAAGTTCTCATTTACCTTACCTTGCACACAGTGCTGCACAGTGTACACTACACACGTCGATTCTTGGCACAAACTACGCAACTGTGCCCTTGTAAGGCCATGCGAGAGTATTTTATTTGTCGATATTTTGCTTCCAGCAGTCGGGTGAAGGCAAACAGAGGGTCTATTCACACATTCCCCAGCTGTGTGTGACCTTCCAGAGTTTCAGCTCACACCTCCTCCCTGCACCTTCAATCCCCTCCATCAAAACCAGCGGAGGGGTTTAATCATGTGACCATTTTTAGCTTTCTTTGTTCTTCCCTCAAGGCCTGCAGAAACTTATAAGAAGAAGAAGGGGGAAGAATACCTTTTATTTATAAGCGACTTTCAAAACGCAAATGAAATGCATACATTTATTCAGCCTTAATCTATAGCATGTCTCCTAATTACAGGGCAAGCCTGGACCTCCGGGAATGGCAGGCAAAGCAGTGAGTGTTTCAATAATGTTGTCTTTACATGTGTTTTCAATTGCAATGCAAAGTTGAATGTTGTGTCTCCCAGTCAAGTGGTTCTCGGTCTTATCTGAGTCCCTCCTGTGCG